ATCATCGCCGTCATCATCATCATCATCCTCATCAGCATCATCATCATCATCATCATCATCATCATCATCATCATCATCATCATCATCATCATCATCATCATCGTCACCATCGTCATCCTCATCACCAGAATCACCATCACCACTATCACCATCACCATCACCATCACCATCATCATCATCAGCATCATCATCATCATCATCCAAATAGGTTCGTGCCTATTCTCCTCTCCCCCGCCCTCCTCATCCTCCTCCATCTTTTCCTCCTCCTCCTTCTCCTCCTCATCCTCCTCCTCCCCCTCCCTTTTCCGTATATCCCTCCCTACCGCACCCTAAGACGTCACGGTAGGGAGGGGCGGGCGTTTTGCCGGAAACTGCCTGACCCGTTATGATCCTGATGCTTGATATATGCAACAGCTCCACGGATGGAGAGGTGATGATTTTCAACATGGGGCTATCGCGCTAGCGCCGCGCAGATGCACATGTAAAGTTGCAACCGTCCGCGGGATAAGGAGCGGCCCATTTTGAAAAAGCGACCCCCGCCTGAGCACCGCGCGGATTCGATTTAAAACTTGCGACACATACAGGGATGGAAGGGTGTCGTTCTCAAAATGACGCTGTCGCGTAAGCGCCGCATACATTCGTCTTCAAAGTTCGAACCAGCGCCAAGGATAGAGCACAGGTCGTTTTCAAATTGCGGCTATCGCATCAGGGCCGCACAAATGCCTCTTAAAGGTCTGCAACAGCCTCAAGGATGGAAGGCGGCTCATTTTCCAAATTGCTCTCTCGCTTTAGCGCGGCACCAATTTGTCGTAGAGTGCGCAAAAGAGTCCAATATGAAGAAAAAAGGCGGTCAACAAGCCGATCAAGAGAGAGCAGCACGCCCACCCACCGGAGAAGTAGCAAATCGTGGGTCTTCAGGGGGGGGCACTGCCGCGCAGGGCCGCAGTCACCGCGACAGATATGGCGCGGAAGCGCAACATCAATGACGAGAGGACGATTGGCTCCCCCTGGCAATTTGTTCCAGGGGCGATATTTACGGTTTGATTCAGGGAAGGGTCCCGCAAGAGCACATGCGTTATCTTCCCCACGGCCCGTGCCTGAACACGTCGGCAAGTTTGCGGGCGGGGCTGTCGCTACCAAGCGGGAGCGCCCAGAGCCAAAGTGGTCATGGATCCCGCTCGCAGTGCACGCCCCGCCCTGCCACCCAACTGCTTTGCCGCCTGCTTTGTCGACACCACAAACCTGCTCTGACCAAGAAGCGGGCGAAGGGCGAGCAGCCCGCCCACCCACCGAAGCAGAAACAAGTCGTGAATATTCTGGGGGCATGGCCACGCAGGGCCGCAGTCCCCGCGACGGAAATGGCGCGGAAGCGCAACATCAATGACGCCAGGACGATTGATGCCCCCTGGCAAGGACGCCGCTGAAGGTTTGACTCCGGGAAGGGCCCCGAAGGAGCACATGCTACCTCCCCCCCTGCCCATCTTGGGACGCATCCGAGCCGCCGCCGTCAGCGCGGCCCCTGGCCGCACCAGCCGCTTCTTCCGCGCGGAAGCATCTGCTGCACAACAGGGCACAATTATTTTAGATTTACTCGCGTTGTGTAAAATCGTAGCGAGGACCGAGTTTCCAGCCGCATAACGTGCGCCAGCAGACAGGTTGCCAGTCGAGCCCGAACCAAGAGCGGCGGACGACGCCAGAAACTTCGCTTGACCAGTCGCACTTGGCGCGCGCTGTCCTCGCCGGGCGCGGCGCCGGCTAGCCCCACTTCGCCCGAGGGCGCCGCGCGAGACAAAGAGGGAGAGGACAGCACAGCCGAGCGCAATGCCGACACGATCTGATGCAATTCTGAAAGCTCCGAGGACAAGACGCTTCGTGCAAGCTGTGCTTTGCAAGAGGCCGACAAGCGCTCAAGAGGAGTTTCCGCGACAGATCGCAAGATTATGTCAGACGCCCCCCCTGGCCAGAACTTGGAGGGTCAACAGATCCACTCCAGCACAGGCTTGATACTTCGCCCCTGTACCACGAAGCGCATGTCTTCCGTAGCGACGCGAGGCACACGTGGCGAGAAGCTGTTCACCCGTTCGCTCAGCGACGGCCTCAATAGCAACAACGAACGACTTAGAGACGCGCTGCCCGCGGACGCCCGGAAACAGGAGCACGGTGGGAACACGCACGCCATCGATGTCAAAATGGGTAACAAGGATGGACGGATGCGCAGAATGTACGCAGAATGGGCACAACGGATTGCAAGAGGCTGCTGCGCAGATGCAGCCCCAAGAACGCACCTTCCCGAGAGCTCCCGCATCCGTCTTCGAAGCTGGCAGATTCAAAAACACAGCACGGTCATCCGCATAAAATGTTCAGTCTGTCAGCAAGGCGCTGCTCCACTCGATCTCCCCGGTCAGGAAAGGGGAGCGCGCAGCAGTCGAAGCAACCGAGATCACAGTCCAACCAGTGGCCAGCGACCCCCACGCTGAGAGCTTCAAACGAGCCACCTCCGTGAGATCAAGGGCCGCACTCTGACTACAAAACCATGCCACAGGGCCCCAGACGCAGCGGCCCGCTTCTTCGACCTCTCGAGCACGTCGGACCCTGCATGACAAGACGCGACGTGCTCGCCCTTCGCCCCTCTAGCACGACTGGCGTAGTTTACAACAAACCGGCACGATCCCTGCCTAAATTCTAAACGAAGACATGACCGCCGACATCTTCACCAAGGTCACTGGGAGAGCTGGGACAACCGCGCCTCTGGCTGCGAGCGCCGCATATTCTAACCAGACTTCGCGAAGGCGTACCCAGGCGCGCCACAAGGATACACGGAGCGCAGCGGAAGTGAAGGCATTTTCGTCAGCCTCGAGTTCGGCGCCCGCTTTCTGGCGAAACTCTGGCCGCGCTGCCTTCGCTGCGGCAGGAGCCGCGGATCCTCGCCGGCAGCCGCGAGAGACAGTTGCACCCCCGCGTTGCACGCGCACTACATCAGACACAGCGGCTTCCTTGACCGAGCACGCGCGGATCGAGGACGACGACGAAGTCGCCGCTGCGGGAGCTGCCGCGCCAGATGGTCCACCCACGTCGCCCGCCGAGCCGACCACGGGGCGCGATGCCACGGCGGCGACGGCGCCCGTCGACGACGGGGCCCCAGCGCCACCCGCACGGAGCGGAACTGGCGCAGCCAGAGCCTCCAAGCTCCCCGCCACATTGTCCACCTCCTGTCGCGAGCACAGCGCTGGAGCGCCGACGCGAAGCCCAGGGCAGCCGCGTCGCATGCTAAACGCTGGGCGCGGGCTCGTCGGACGAGCAGGAGCACGGGCCGAAATTCGATCGACGGTCGCAGGGCCGCGGGGCCCGCGAGTGGAATGGCGGAAGACGCAGGACCGCAGCGCCTGCAGGACGCAAGAAACCAACGACAATCTCGGCCAAGCCCGCGAGAACCTGAGCCTTCACAACCAAAGCCTACATGACCCCAGGCTCGAGAATGTCTCGGGGACGGCGCGCGCGCGCAAGTCCTGGCCACTACGAACCGCGCGCCCGGGCGCGAGCCCGAGGAGGGGGAGAGCGCAAAACCGAGGCGCCCGCGGCGGAGGCCTCGCCACCCCGACGCACCCCGCCGAAATCGTGACAGCAACACCGTTCCCACGCAGTGGGCTGGGCCACTTCGGGCACGCAACCTTCGACGACGAAGTGCCTGCAACCACAGAACCGCACGACCGCGGGAAAGCTGCGCGCGCCACAGGAGGGCGGACGGCGAGCAGGGCCGCGGCATATGCAGAGCACACCGACGCACATCCGCAGAGCCCCAAAGCCCCCGCGCCCCCTCCATGCCAGAGCGAGCGACGGTCACAGGACGAGGAGGACAAGGGGCGGATGGGGGGGGCACGACGAGAGATGAGAGCAAGCGACCTTTCTCTCCATCGGTTAGTGCAACATTTGCTAATGCGAGCGCCGCGGCATCCGACGCTGTTGCCACTGGCTGGGGGGCGAAATTCAATATAAGTCGAAGCGATGCATATCAGATGCGACGATACGTTCGCGAAAGCGTCGCGGCGACCAAAACAGTCGCCGCGGGAGCGGTTAGTAAACTGGCGTCGACCGCCGCCAGCCGAATGTCAATTTTGACAACGATTCACACGGAAGCTACCCTACCCGCGTGGCAGAACATTACTACCCCTCGGCCGAAGCGCGGCACCACGATGCTGCGCGGACGGGCAATGGCGCTTCAGCCGCGAAGTTTAAACAGATCGGCACGCGCTGCGAACATCCTGGTCCACACCTCCTGCTTAGCCTGTCGGCCAACATGTCGGCGACAACCAGGGCGCGCGACATCCTCGGGGAGGGTGGCGGCGCCCCGGAGGTCGAGGGCAAGATCCGCAGCGAGATGGCACAACCCTGGGCTAGGCGCCAAAAATTGTAACGGCATCGCGAGGGCTGCAATACTCTCGCGTTCGACTGCAAAGCTTGAACGCACTCGGCACAGGCTACCCAAGCGCGCATGCCCGCAAGTACCCCCGAACCCCCAGAAATATGCTGCGATTCGGCTGACACGACGACGACGCCAGCATCTGGGCGTCTTCCCCAGACACGGGGACCGCCAAATAGGCAACGGGGGCCGCATCCAACAGGAGCCACCCGCCGAGGACCCACGGAGAAGCGCCGAAGCCCCCGCGCACCGCCGGCCCGCGGAGCGCGCAAACCTCAGCCAGAAAACGGCACACGATAGACCCGCTCTGCTGCGGGAGGAACCAGAGGAACCACCCGAAATGCGCCCGCGCTGGCTGCGTCCAGACGCAACCGGGAGGCGCGCACGATGGGGGGTCGGCGCTAGTTGCGAGCGCGGCGTTCCACTGGTCACGGGGAAGGGGCCTCAAGATCTGGATAACCACTACCACGCCCCCAGCCTTCCCTAGGGATCCACGGAGGTGCTAAGCGATGCAATATTAGACGCGAGAAGACCCTCAAGGTGGCCAGTGAAGCCAGCAACTGATCCCCAATGTGGCCCTGGCCTGGCCGAGGGGCTGCCCTTGCCCCAGCCCAGACAGCGGCCGCGCCGTGCTTTGCTGTCTGGAATGAAAGTCCGAAGCCACGCAGACTCCAGGCCGGCATCGTTGCACGCAACATCAACCCACGTCTCACTGGAGATCCTGCCGCGGCAAAAATCAAATCGTCGACGTAGGCCCCCAGCCGGGGCGCCGCCCGCAGCTCCGAAAACTCGTGGGAAGGAGGGGCCCATGAACACGGCTTGCGACGGCCTCGCCAGCAGCGCGGCCACAGACGCCCAAACACAGGGGCCATCGCGGCCCCCCTGCGCCGCCCGGCAGCACCGATAGTCGACGCCGAACCGCGCAACGAAGACGCGGCGCTCCTCGACGGCGAGCGGTGCGTTCCAGACAGCGTCGCTGAAGTCAGCGACGAGCCACTCGACCCCGAACTGGATGTCACCCCTGCGGTGGACAAACAGCTTCAGGGCGCCCAGGCCAGCGCCCATGGAGCGAGGCAGGCGCCCCGCGAGTCTTCGCCGCGGCTGAAGTGGCGCTGGGCGCCTGGAGGTAGGCAGGGGCACCCCGCGAGTCTTCGCCGCGGCTGAAGTGGCGCTGGACGCCTGGAAGTCGATGACCCAGCGCCTCTTCGCCTCGTCGCCTTTCACCCGGGCGAGGAAACCAAATTTGGACATCACTCGAGCGCCGCTGAGCATTTCGCGAAACTCCTCGTCACAACGCCCCTGGCAGTTTGCCGCCGAGGCGGGCCAACCGCGAGCGCGAGACTTCATCTCTCGAGCAGCCCCCCCGCCCAGACGCGCGGGCCCGCCGCCCGAAGCGCGAGCCGGAAGCGACGACGGCCAGATCGCTGACTGGACAAAGCGGCCGTCTGAGGCGAGCAATGAACGCCGCATTCAGCCGGCGTCTTCAGGGCGCCGGCCAGCGCCCTAGAGAATAAAAAACACCGCGGCATCTTCGCCCGGCCACCCCGCGCGAGCGGCCATTGCCCGAGGCCCTGAGCACGCCCGCGCGCACGTCGTTCGGGCACTCTGCTCTTCGAGCGCGGCCCCGCGACGACGCGCCCAGGAGCGCGGCAAACGCGGGGCGGCAGGCGCCCGGCATGCCCCCGCAAGCGCGGCGTCGCCGCCCGCGCCTGAACGGGCAGCCCACAACTTGTCGCGGACGACCGCGCCCTTAATCAACACGTCAATGAAGCTCGCTGTCGCTTCGGCTGAGACCTCCTCGAAGCCTGGCACTGCGCCCCGGGGGCGCAACGGCCCGCGCGCGCTGCCAATCGACCTGGCTTCCCGCGCCGACCCGGCAGCTATTGCGCCGAGCGCGCGCGGGCGCAGAGGGAGCGCGGAAGACACCCAGGCATCGGACAAGCCTGCCCCTACACCGTCGCACCCGGCCAGTCTGACTAACTGGCTGCTGGAACGCCCACGCCCAGACCGCGCCATCGCGGCCTTCGCGACCGGCGCCGACGGCCCCGTCCTCGCAGAGGCTTGCCGGTGCCGCCCCGCAAGGGAAGCGCGCGCAGCAGTCAGGCTCGCAGCCGCCTCCAGGACGCCTGCGCGGTCGGCGCGACAGCGAACGATCTCGAAGCGGCGCTCGCAGGCAGCCCAACAGCGCGCCCGACGCCCGCCGCGGCGACGACGCCCGGCGAGTCTGCGATCACCTGCCACTCTGAGAGCTGCACAGAGGGGCGATCTGGAGCCGGGGAACTGGCGACTGCAGCGCCGGGGAGGTCCAGCTCCTGGAACCTCGGAGCCACGGAAGTCGCCCGGAGGGTCACCGCCGCCTCGACACGGACGCGCCGGACGCGCTCGGCCACCACAAGCGGAATCCATAGATGTCCTCCGGAGCCATCTCGCCGAGGACGGCATGGTCGCCGTCGCCGCGAGCGGCGAACGTCGCGCACGGGGTGACCAGCGCGCACCCGTCAAACACGAGCTCGCCAATCCCGGCTTCTAGCTCGCGCCACACGGCTTTCGCCAGAAACTCGCTCAGGCCCCCGCCGCCGGCGTCGTGGGCCACCGCGCGCGCCGAGCTAGTTGCCCTGCCATGTCGCCAGCGCACCAGCGCGCCTCAGGCTCAGCGAGCACGACCAGAATGCAGAGCTTCAGACGGCCACATCGAGCGTCGGCTCAGCGGCGCATCCCGGGGCCTCTGGCGACGACGCCGGGCGCGCGGCCAGAGCGCTTGAACGAGCTGCCGTCGTCGACGCCCCAGAGACCTGCACCTTTGCCCAACGGTGCTTGCCCAACAGTCTGAACCGTGGCCCACGCTGCGAGCCGCGTGTCTGGTGGAATCGCGCATCCAGGGGGCGCATCCGCCACGGCCTGTTCGGCGCTGTCTGGGTGCGCCGCCAAGGTCGATACCTCTGAGGCACGGGTGTCTAACTCCCTGCCACCTCGCCCCTCGGCCCCGCCCTCAGGTGGTCTGGGCGGGGCCTGCGGCGCCTTCTTGCACGGGCGCGGGCGAGCAGTCCCGTGGCCAGTGCCCAGGCAGTGCTCGCACTGGCGCAACTCGCCAAATTTGGGGTACATGGTGTTCCGGCGAGTGTGCCCGCGCTGGCCCGTCTGGAATGCCTGGCAGACCTTGACCTTACTGCGGTTGACCACGAACATACCGTTGCGCGTCGCCGCGCGGCCTCCTCGACGGAGGTGGCGGCGCCGCGGCGCCGCTGGGCGGCCCTCGCTTGGAGGCCGGCTCCGAATCGGAGCCCTGCGCGGCAGGCGACGCCAGCCCCGGGCCTCTGGCGGCTCTGGCCTCGTTGCCCAGAATGCTGGCCAAGGACCCGTTTTCGCCATGACAAACACCCCTGGGTCTTCGAGTTCGGTCTTCGAGAAATCCGCGTCGTCTGCTGCTGCCAAAATACATTCCAAACGCAATTCGGGTCGTGCGGGTGATCGGCTTTGGTAACCGTCCAACGCCTCCCAGCGAACCCCATCAGCTCGAGGCGGCACCGGCATCCAGCTTAGCATGCGATGCGCCACACCTCCAGCCCCCGCTGGTGGCAGCGCCGAACGAAGCTATTCCGGAAATTCGGGAAGATACCCCAGTCGACCGCCCCGAACTGAATGAGACCTGAAGGGAAAAGGCCGCACGCCCAGTCCCACGACACGCTCCAGGCCGAACAGTTCCCCCATGCACCACATGCCGCCTGGATCGAAGGTCTTCCTCACCAGCCTCACTTGCTTGAGGATGCGATGACCTCGCGGCCCCCACATCGCGAAATCTGCGTAGGGGGTCCTCACGCTTCGGAGGACAGAATCCAAAGCAGCCAACTCTTCCCCAGTGAACTCTTTCGTCGGCGAGGGCTTGACCACATAGGAGATCCTGCAGCTCGCGAGGCACGCCAGGACGCGGTCGCCGTCCAAGAAGGGCGTCGCTCCCTCCAGCTGCAGGTCGACGACCTCCTTGATTAGACATCGCCTTCGTCGAACCGGACTCCCGCTCCTCCGCGATGCCTTTGGCGTGCGCCTCCGCTGCCGGGGGCAGCGCCGCAATGCTCTCGCAGGCGCGATGGATCGCCTGCGTGCT